CCACAAGCCAAGGAGTGCAGACAGCCTCTAGAAGCTGGAGAAGGCAAGGAAACAGTTCGCCCCTGGAGCCCGAAAAAGGAACTCAGCCCTGCTGAGACCTTGGCCTCCAGATCTGTGAGATAAAAAAAGTTTGTGTTGTTGTAAGTCACCATGTGAGTGGTAACTAGTTACAGCAGCAATGAGAAGCTCGCCGAAGGCAAGGAGGCAATACTAATGATGATGGCCACAGTGATGGGCACTTTGAGTGCTTAGGAAGGACCCAGCCATGCTCTCCAAGCACTTTACATAGCTTAACTCAGTTAATTTTCAGACACTGTTCTGTGGGATGATTATTATCCCTGTTTTATAGACAAGGACACAAAAGCACAGAGAGGTGAAGTAACTTACCCAAAGCCACACAGCTGCAAACGCAGAGGGGGATTCTTACCCAGGCAGGTGGTGGCTGAGTATGTGCCTGTGACCACTGCCCCCCAGTGCCTGGCAGCAGCACATGTGTGAACTCTGACCCCCTTGCTCAGGGCTAGGCCCTTTACAGAAATGATTTAGTTTAATGTCACGACCGTCCTATGAGGTAGACGTTCCTGTCATTTTCCATTTTACAGTTGGGGAAACTGAGGCTCAGCAAGATGGAGCCCCTTGCTCAGGGTCACAAGGCCAGAGACTGTTCCCCAATGCTGCTGCCTCCTTGCTGGGGCTGGAGGCAGGGACTCATGTTACCTGCAGGGGGTTCCCGCTCTGCGGCCCCCTTGCACCCCTGCCCTTTCCAGCCCCCATCTCCACATTCCCTGTGCTCCCTGATTGGGAATGACATCCAGTCAGATGTCCCTACACTACTGCACGCCAGAGGCTACAGGAGGCTTCATGCCTCTTGGCCCCATTGTTTAGGCCAGGAAGCCACCCCCTCCGTCCTTGGCCAGAGGAGACCGTCTCTAGGGAGAAGGTTCCTTCCCAGAGAAGCAAATGGCCAGGAAGCAGGCCCTGGCTGGGCCCAGGACAGAGATACATGCTGGCCCTTTAAGGGGAAGGGGCTGGAGTGGGGGCTGCATCACTGGGTCCCTTCTTTTTTTGCTGTTGTTTTTTCATTTTGTTTTGTTTTTTGAGATGGTCTTGCTCTGTTGGTCTGGCTGGAGTGCAGTGGCACTATCTCAGCTCACTTCAGCCTCCACCTCCTGGGTTAAAGCAATTATCCGGCCTCAGCCTCCAGAGTAGCTGGGATTACAGGTGTCCACCACCACACCCGGCTACTTTTTGTATTTTTAGTAGAGACAGGGAGGGGGGTTCTCACCACGTTGGCCAGGCTGGTCTTGAATTCCTGGCCTCCAGTAATCCGCCCCCGCTTGGCCTTCCGAAGTGCTGGGATTACAGGCGAGAGCCACCGCGCCTGGCCCTGGGTCCCTTCTTATCAGGAATCCTTCGACGGGGTGGACCAGGGCCAAGGGCAGCTGGCGGCAGCAATTGGAGTTAGGGTCAGGGGCTCTTGCAGAAGCCACTGCCTCCTCCCTCCCTGGGTTAGTTTCCTCAGATATAAAATAAGTCAGTGGGGCTGGGGTCTCTAGGCTCCCCGCATTCTGTGAGCCCATGACCCCAGGGGTGGGTCCTCCCCTGTTCATTAATAATAAGCTGACCACTTACTGGGGTGTCCACCGGGGGCTGTTCCCGTGAAGCCTCACAGTGACCAGGGGAGGAACTCCACTATAGTCTGTTTCAGAGGCGAGGAAGCCGAGGCTCAGCGTGGTTAGGGAATGCCTCAGGTCATGCAGCCAGTGTAGGGTGAAGCTGGGGTTTTCTGGGCCACCCTAGGCCACCAGCAGCCCTACTGTCCTGAAGTCACTGCTGTTTCTTCCTTTCTCTCCTAATCCAGGTGGAGCTGAGGGGCGGGAGGTGGCTGGGGTTTGGAGTGTGAGCCGGGGGATCTCCCGTGGCGGGCAGTGGGAACTCAGGAATATGCAAGTCACTGGTGCTATAGTCCCTCCTGCCCAGTCAGGGCCGCACCTCCCTCTGGGCTGGACCAGGGCTCTGAAGCCAGCTGTAAACCCTCCCTGGGGTCAGGGAGGGCTCCCTGGAGGAGGTGGCGTCTCAGCTGAGCCAGAGAAAGCATTAAGCAGGTAAAGGCAGGAGGAGAGGGTGTTCTGGGCAGAGGGAGGCTCTCCTCAAATAGGAAAGCTCCAACTAGACTTTTGAGCTCTGACTCCCGGGCCCATGTCCGCAGTGCTGTGTCTTAGACCTCTGCTGCCCTGGGGACCCTCTGAGCTGCCCCTGGCTGCGGTGGGGCAGTCTGTCCCCCTGCAAGGCTCTCCCAGTACCTGACAGTTTTCCCACTGGACTGTCAGGCAGGTGTGGCCAAAAGCCTGGACTCAGGATCTGGGCTGCTCCGGTTCAAATCTTACCCCTGTCCCTTGTAGCTCTGTCACCTCAGCCAAGTGACTTCATCTTCTTGTGACTTGTCTCTGGATTATAATCATTAACATCCCTCCAGCCGAGTCAGGAATGGTCGCGGACTGAATGAATGTGTGCAGAAAGGACGGCCAAGAAGCTGAGTGTGCTGTGTGTCAAGATAGCCAGGTCGGGCCTGGGTAGAGGGGGTGCCACTACTGAGCTCCAAACCCTGGGGGCCCTCTGGAACCTGGGCCCAGCATGGCCAGGCCTACAGAAGAAGCCAGAAATCCAGATCTTGTGAAATCTCCCAAGTTTTAAGGGAAGGCCAAATGTTAGAAAACAGCTTAGGGCTGAGGAAAACCAGGATCGTGCCCTCGGAGCTGTTAGATGTCACCCTCTGCTGGCCCACCTGTCCCCAGGCGGGATGCAAATGAAAGGCCATGCAAACGAACACCTCACATTGCATATAACCGAATGTGGAGATGGGTGAGGATGTGCCCTTCTTCCCATCATGCCTTGTGGTAGAAATACCTGCAGGGCACAGGCTTTGACTGTCCACCACAGAGTCTCTGGAGCCCAGACCTGCGCCTGGCACACAGTGGGTTCACCTTCTCTGTTGAATCAAATGAATGAATGAAAATGATTAGAGGGAAGCATGATGATGGAGGTAGGCGAGGGATGGAGGAAGGAGCGTGGGCACGGCTGAGCAACTGAGTGGCCATGAGCAGTATGTGTCACCTCCTGGGGTGTCTCTGCTTTTCCATAGACCAGGCATGGCTCAGGTCCTTAGACAAGCAACTGGGTTGAGTCAGAAGCATATCACACATGGCTTGCTGACCCAGGAATTCCTTGCCAGCCAAGGAGCAACCCCTAAATATGGAAAAAGGAAAGCTATCTGTAGAAAGACATCAATCGGAATATATTATTTATAGCTTCGAAAAACTGGAAATAACTGAGATTTCCAACAATGAGGGAATGGCAAAATAAACCATGGAATATGGTTTGACAAAATATTAGGCAGCCAATAAAAACGAGGTTCAGAGAAGAGGAAAAAGAAACGAGATTACAGAGAGTAAAAGAACTAGAAAAGTGCCCATGATATAATGGCAGGTCAAAAAGGCAGGATACCACCGTTTTTTTTTTTTTTTTTTCTCTTTTAATATACAGTATGACCTCAGTCCCATTTTTTTTTTTTTAAGTCCTCAAACAAAAAACTATGGAAGGAAATACATCAAACCTTAACAA